GTACACATGTTGACGTAACCTAGTGAGACGTACAGCTGTGTGTTGCACTTGTATGAACATAATACTGTTAGCAAAACAATTCTTTGCAAAACTTATAGAACCGAACTTAACAAAACTGGGACACCGCTCGGCAAGCGGTTTCGTAGCGGAGCTTGTGCGCTAGGTTTTCTTTGTCGTGCGAAATAACGGATTTATCGTTCTTCGTCGACTTTTGTATTCCTTCATCTCTGAGCACATCGATGATCTTCAATAGTGAGCCAGATGAATCCAATCCACTCAGTCATATCCAGTTTATTACCGTCACCCTATCTACGCCGAGGCTTCCCAGGGCTTCCTTCAAGGTTTCTCATCTTCTGCTTGCTTGCTACATCTACCGCCAATATTATCCTCCTTAATTTGGTCGTCGTAATAATATTTGGTGAAAAATACAAATTATTAAACTTGTCGTGAAGTTTGCTTTCATTTTCTGTACGTATTCATCAGCATGACGAATTGTAGTTGTTGATTTGGCCTAAGCTGATAGTTGCTTACTGTATTGCCAAATACTAACGACTGAGAAAAAAAACATGTCCGATAACACAGTGGTATTCAACCTGGGGTACGCGTACCCCAGTGTGTACGCGAATTTTTTTTAAAAAATATATATTTTATGATAAACACTGAATAATCAGTAATGTAATTTATTTAATTTATTTTATATGTAGATTATATACAATGTATAACTTGAATTATACACCAACAACTTTGGGGGTACAAAGTTGAAGAGAAATTATATCTGGGGGTACGCGAAGACATCTTAGGGGGTACGTGAAATTTATACACCAACAACTTTGGGGGTACAAATTTGGAAGAGAAATTATATCTGGGGGTATGCGAACAAAAAAAGGTTGAATACCACTGCGATAACAGATAACTCATCACATGGGTTCGTACTGTGTAATAAAATTCGTACCGGGGTCGCAAAAACGCGAGTTAAGAACCCCTGGTGCAGACACTGAAAGGTTAGGCAGTGACCCCCCCCCAAAAAAAAAACCCTGTTGATATACGAACGGACACGTATAAAATACATGTATTAGATTATTACCAATACATCTGGTTTGGTTTACGAAAGTAACGTAAATATTTATTGTTCCTATAGCTTATTAAAAACACTTGTCTGACCTTTGAACGTAACTTTCTAAACAAAACAAAAAAAACCAGTGATAAGAATCTACGTACGTCAGGTTTCCGTAGAACCTGATGTTTGCCCACGTCATTCGACAGGTGTCCCCTGGTACATAGGCTACTCCTCAGTTGTCATGGATTTAGCTGCAAAATGATTTCCGAATGTGCGTGCGTATCTTTTACACGTGTGAATTTCGTATTCCTGCATCACGAGAGGCGTCTGCGTCCCACTTACTTCGCCTCGGTTTGAATCTGTGCTCGGACATCGCGTGATCTGATTAATGGTTGGAGTATCTGCAGTATTTGACTATCACGCCATGAAGATATTATGTTAGTGGAGGTACAGCTCCACGTATTCCGTACATGGAGATGAATGGAAAGCTTCACGTTCCGGCCTGTTTATCCCCTGTACCGATTGGTTGTGAATCCTGTGATGACGGAAAGGGACGAGGGAGGGACGTGCTGACAAAAGTCGAAACTGGACAGTCTTAGAATTACGTAGAATAAATGCAGTATAATTTTTATCTTTGCAGCGTTAGTCTGAACATAAACCAATAAGATCATTATCGTGTTCACAAGAGCCCTTTGTCTTTACCTTATCAAAAGATGACTCCACACCATACGATATTTAAGATTCATTTTAATATTATCCTCTCTTCTACATTTAAGTCTAGATTTCCAAAGCGTGTTTTGCGACTCAGAATTTTGGGGCGAATTTCTCGTCTCTTTAAAGCGTGCTACATTATCTGTCCGTTTCTCCATTACTTTATTTTTTGTTGTATCAAAATCGTATCAGACGAAAGCCTTCAATCGAACACAATCGATTGCTTCCGCACTGTAATGCAGGTG